AAGCTCAGGCTAATAAAGTGATTGTTCCAGTGTTCAAAAATTCCTCTTCTTCATTAGTTTAAGTTTAGTTTTAGTTTAGGTTAGCTTATTATAATTTGTTTAGTTTAGTATATAGTAGTTATTTAAGTATATTTATATGGTTTTGGCAGTGTCTAACTAAAATAAACCTGAAATTAAACTAATAAACTAAAAAACTAAACTAAAAGTTATCACAAAAGAAGGGGTATTTGATGTGGGCGACCAAATTACCTGTTAGCCGGTAAATTTACGGTGTTACATCCCAGCTAAAGATCAATCTAGCAGGAAGCAGTGCAGAAAAAGGCGATGCGACCACTAACACAAGAGTTTTATTGTCCTGACGTTTCGAATTCCGTCAGAAATCTTTAATCATAGGTAATGGTACAATATTCTGAGTCATGCGCAGATAGGGGTCATAGGGTCTGCGCATGACTCAGAATATTGAACCACTACCTATGATTAAGGATTCCCGATGGAATCCGAAACGTCAGGACAATAAAACTCTTGTTCCAGTTGAGTCGCATCGCCTTCTCCTGAAAGCTAGCAGCTTCAACCCTAGCATTTTCTTGTTGGGGCTCCCATTTAATAACCGGATTCGCTATTAATACTATTAACGAAGCATATCCAGTTCCACAAATAAGGCCTTATTGGGACTCCTGAGCTCATTGACTCGAAAGATTAGAAAAAAGGAATACGAAGAGAGCGGATACGGCAGCCAGAACTTCGGACTTCTAACCGCATGCAGACAAGCAATCTCCACGCACATGGATTAGTTATGTTCACCAAGCGAGAGCGCTAATTCTCGCGCGTCCGCCAGCCAGCCAGTTAGCACCCTAATGACGTTCTCCTCTCCAGCACGGTCTTGGTAAACATCTCAGGCGTGTACTCTAATCCCCCCTTGCAATTAGTATGAGGCACACACACACACAAAAAAAGACCCGGTAATAAGTTTACGTAATCTAGTAGAAAAAGCCTGTCTTCAGGTAAAAATGCTTCCTTCCTTCCCCTCTCCAGGAAGTTGTTTTTTTAGAGGGAAGGCGTGGCAGACAGCTCGATAAAGCAACAATAACCCGTCCAGCCATTTAGCGGACACTGGTAATATGAATGGAGTATGCAAATAACGGACTTAATGCGTTACAGTAAACAGCTGGAAACCCTTTTGGAATCCTAGTTTGCAGGAGGCTCCCTGAACAAATTTGCCCACATAGCTGAAAGTTAGCACCTGTGGGGGACGCAGAATGGGCTATTTAAAGCACCGTTGAGGAGCTGGAACTGTTTCTCTTCTCTCCAGGACAACAAGTTAAACTCCTACTCTCTGCTCCCCGTCTAAATACAGGCTACTTTACATGCCCAACTTGTATACCCTAAGGACGAGATAAAATTTCTCGATAAGAAGGTAGTCATCTGCAAGATCCTACCGTGGCCGAACAGGAAAGTTCGTCTCTACGCGAATCCACGAGCACCAACTGGCAATGAAGAGACGAAATCATATATCCGAAGTGGCTGTGATAACCCTGATACAGGATCCAACGTTGCATGGGACAAAACACGCATCGTCGGAGTCTGCCCCTCCAAAAAAGACTAAGAATTTATTGAGGCCATGCACTCCGATGATTCTTGCATCAACTGACATATGGCGTTGTATGGAATGTGCAAGCATCTCAAACAAAAATGGTAGAGGTGACAGACGATCAACATGGACTAACGTTTACCGCAACTGCTAATCATCTTTCATGCCGGATGACTTTTAATTGTCAACCCCGGACTGACGCAAATTGCATCTGCCAATTAGCGCACACACCAGATGACTATATAATTGTACCAGCACTTCAGAAATTTTAATTGTTCGTTGCACATATTCTCAGGTCTGACGATGACCTGGGGATCCAGTGTCGGAAATTTTACTCAATCAAATTACCCTATTTTCCCAAAGAACGTCTTGTTTCAAAAAAAATTTCTTGGGGTGCCTGCCTTCCAATTTATACAGGTAA